GTTTGTGTTTTCGAGGACCACCCATCGTCTGCGTTTTGGTTGATCGACACACACATAGCCACTACCGAAAGGGGGGGTGTTGTATGGGGTTTGTGGACGGCGCAGTTTGCTGTGGAAGCGGGTTGTGAGGGGGAATGGTGTGGGGGGGGTTGGGGTGTGTGGGGGTTATGGAGGGGTCCTTTGCTGTGAGGGGGACGCGCGATGGGGTGTCCGCGGGTGAAGGCGGGCCGTCTTTGTTTTGGTCCTTCCGGAGTGCATTCGCGTGCGTCGACTGAACGTGGAAGGGCCTTATTGCATTTTCGGGAGGTTGATAATGACAGGCCTGGAAGGCATGGCGGTAGCACGTGTCGCCGTCGTCGTTCCGTTTTCCCGCCACGAGGACGCGACGTCGTGGACGGTCCTTCTGCTAGTGTCATTTCAGTGTTGCGCGTCTGGAGCCGGATAAATGTCGTCCGCACGAGGGTGATTCCACAACGCTTCTCGCCGTGCCAGGTGCACACTTCCCGCCTCGCATCTGCAGTGCCACAACGCTTCTCGTCGGGCATGCTACAAGGTTCCCGCCGCGCATCTGCAGTGCCACAACGCTTCTCGCCAGGCCAGCTGCACACTTCCCGCCGCGCATCTGCAGTGCCACAACGCTTCTCACCGTCATCGCTTCCGCTCTTCTGGCAGTCAGTCTTCTCGCCGTGGAGCACTCCTGCCATCGCGAACGACAGGTGTCATCGGGGACATCATCCTTCCGTGGTGCGCTTGCACGTCGTCGTCATCCTGCAGCAGAGGACACATCTTCAGCGTCATCGGGATAGCCTGTCTCGCCAGGCTGGCAAGAGACGGGTGACATCTTTTTCGATGAAACAGCACACATCAGCCGAGCGCTACATCGAGATCGCTCGTGGGGGTCCCCAGCGAGCATGTCTGCGCGATTGAACGCTCGTGCCAAGAAGCGCAAAGTCGCGCTTGACAACACCCAAGCCCAGGGGAAAGGTCGGCGGCACATCCCGAAGGCGAAGAGGCTACGTTTGGATGATGCGTCAGCAAGCGTGCCACGTCGTGGTGCGCGAGGTTGGGGGCAGGCCGCGGAAGAGGTCAACGATGATGATTTCATGACGGAGGACGATCAAGGCGAGGCGACGGCGTCTGCAGGACGGGAGAGTGCCAGCCAGTGTACTCCGGATCAGAGCGCTTCGAGGAGGATGTCAACCCCTCCGCAGGAGGCGCAGCAGCTCCGTATCCGCGAAACGTGGAAAGAGAAGGATGTCAACCCCTCCGCAGGCGGCGAAGACGACGAGCCTTTGGAAAAACGTCGCCTGCGCAGTGCGACACAAGCGACCACAACGGCGGTGTCGACGGCTCGCGCTGCGGAGGACGAAAGGCCGATCACAGGTGCACTGCCCTGCAGGCCGTCTCAGCCGCGTCAGCGCAACGAGGGTGGTGACGGTGCGTCTCGCCAACGAGGTGGTGGGGGGGTAATCGTGGCAGACGCGCGTGCAGCAGGGGGCGAGGCGGCAGGTGGCGTGGGTGTGGCTGTTGCATGTGTTGTCCCTCCCGTTCCGGCGGCGAGAGAGGAGGCTGCAGTTCCGGCGACGGTGAGAGAGGAGGCTCGTGGACAGAACACGAACCAACGGGATGGCGGCGAGGCCGCTTCAAGCCGAGCACGCACGCGAGGCCGCTTCATGACGGAAGACCTTATCGACCGTGCACTTCTTTGGGCGGATGACAAATGTTTCTGGACGACGGGTGAAGGACGCATACTTTACAACATCGTCCACGAAACCAAAGAGTACTTCGTCGCCATCGCCAGCGGCCTTCCGCCACCTAAACTTCCGCGGAGCGTTGTCGTCCCCAAATCCAACACGAGGGTGGCGAGGATCGCAGACCAATCACAACTCCAGCAAGCGATTTCCCGTGCGGCGGCGGTGAAGAATATAGCTCTGCGCATCTTGCACGGCTGGGTTTTCAAGTCCGGGAACCGCCCAAGGGGGTACCACCTTGCTTTCCAGTACTCGTTGGAGTCCGTAGCGACGGACATTGCGCGTGCAATGTGGTATGGCGAGGAGTGGCGCAACGTCGTCAGCGCGCCGATTTGCGCCCACACGATAGATCTTAACATGGACCTTCCACTGTGGTACGCCGGCGCGAATATCGAGGACAAACCTGAGGACGACGACATGGATGCGTACCAGGAGTCCATCGTCATCAGCATCGTGCATTCATTCCGCGCGGCACTGCAAATGGGCGCTCACATCGACGACGATTTCATCTCCTACGAGCGTCTATGTCGGGTGGCTGACTGCTTAAGGTTGTTGCTGGCGGCGTCCATGTGGATTATGCGCATGGCGGGAGACGATCCGCGCAGTCACTACGAAGCATTTTACTTCGCGGATCTCGTCGCCAGGCCGACACTAATCGCCTCCATGCATCGGTCCTTCGATCATCGACGATCCGTCGTCCGCGCCACGAACGTCGTCACGGAGAGGCTTGGGAAGGCAAAAGCCACGCTCAGAGTGTACCCCGACTACATCCCTGATTGGGCACCATGCGGCATCGGATTTGCACACGACGCGACCATCAAGGGGCCGGAGGATGCGAAGACGCTGGATTGGTTGGGTTCGGGCCCCGCCGATGATGACATCAAAGGCAAAGGAAAAGACGACGCATAAGGCGGGCTGGTATGCGGGGGGAGAGCGGGGAGACAACGCTTCTAAGATCGAAGGCGCATGTACGCGTGGCGAGACGTGACGGGCTGTCGTGTGATTGGAGTATCGTGTGTGGCGCACCTGATAAGCGTGTTGGCCGTCGGGATTCGCCAGAGTCCTCCTTCATCATTGTACACAGGTTTATTGTGGCGCCTGTGGCATAAGCACGGGTTGATTCAGTTCGATTGTGTCATTGTAGTTTCGGTGGTTAGCATGTTGGCCGGAGGGATTCGGCTGAATCTTCGACGGTGGCGTAGGTGTTTAGTGTGCGGCCAGTAGCGCCAACACGGGATGAAAGGTTTGCACCTTTGTTTTTCGTGTGTTTTTCTGTTGTTTTTATTTTCTTTTTATTTCTGCGTTCAGCGCACGTGGTTGTTTTATCAATGCATGGTGTTCCTCGTTGTCTCGGACGATTTGAACCG